CGCCGGGTCCTCTCTCCAGCCTGGCTGGCTGTCTCCCTCCCTCTCTCCCCGCCGGCGGCCGCATGTGGGCCGGTCAGGGAGATCCTTGATCTCCCCACCGGCCCGTCGTGACAAACAGCGGGGCCGGCCCTAGGAGAGTGCCGGCCCTGCATAGACCGGCAGGGGAGATCCTGTGACCTCCCCTGCCGGCCTCGGCCCATGGCCACCGCGGCCCACCGGGCATTTGCCCGGTGTGCCCGATGGCCAGTCCGGGCCTGATTACCTTTATAGTCTAGCAACGTCTGTACTGCGTGCGGGACTCGCACATAGAGTTCCTGACCCAGAGTGAGCTTGTCAGCTTCTGCTACCAACAGGGCGGCAGCAGCTACGGCCCTTAGACAAGGAGGAAGACCACTGGCTACTGCATCCAGTTGTTTGGACATATACGCAACAGGTCGTTGCCATGATCCCAGATACTGTGTAAGTACTCCCACAGCCATCCTTCTTTGCTCGTGTACATATAAGTAGAATGGACGTGTATGATCAGGTAGACCTAATGCGGGTGCGCTCATCAATGCCTTCTTAACATCCTTAAATGCCTTCTGCTGTTCGATGGTCCACAGGAAGGAATCATGTTACGTGCCTTTAATAGTGGCATAGAGGGGTTTCGCCAGTATCGCATAACTGGGAATCCATATCCTACAGAAGCCTGCTGCCCCTAAGAATTCTCGCACTTGTCTTCTATTCTTAGGTGTTGGTATTTGGCATACAGCCTCCTTTTCTTTCAGGCCCCATTATCCTTTGACCTTCAGAGATATGGAATCCCAGATACTTGACAGTTGGCTGACACAACTGAGCTTTCTTCCTGGACACCTTGTATCCTGCCTTCCAAAGAATGTGCAGTAAATCATAAGTTGCTTGCTGGCATATCTCTTTAGTAACTGCCTCTATCAACAAATCATCCACGTATTGTAGTAGTACACATTCTCCTGGGATGGACTTGAAATCTAATAAGTCCTGACTTAATGCTGTTCCAAATAGGGTAGGTGAATTATTAAACCCTTGGGGCAATCTTGTCCAGGTCATCTGACGTTTCGAGCCCGTTACAGCATCTTCCCATTGGAATGCAAAGATACACTGGCTTTCTGTAGCAATTCGTAGCCAAAAGAAGGCATCTTTAAGGTCCAAGACTGTAAAGTAAGTAGCCCCACCCGGAATCAAGGCAAGCAGGTTATAAGGATTGGGCACAACTACCGCATCATTGACTGCTCTCAAATCCTGCACAGGACGATACTCATCTGATCCAGGCTTCTGAACAGGCAACAATGGAGTATTCCAGGGGGAAGTACAGAATTTTAGGATACCATACCTTATGAACTTATCCAAATAAGACTATATGTTCTTCTTTGCCTTTTGAGGTATATGGTATTGTCGCAAGCTTACTGGATAAACCCCAAGCTTTAGTTTGATGCGTATAGGTGGGATATTGCGAGCAAGTCCTGGTGGGTTATTTTCTGCCCACACTCCTGGTATATTATACAAGGATTCATCACTCTTAGGGTTTTGACTTGTCATCACTGTATAAAGTAGCCACTCTTCTTCCTTTGGTACTGATAGTGTCATTATACCTGAGGGTCCATTAAACTTCAAGGATGTCGTTCCGTTAGGCAGAAATGTTATCTGTGCTTGTAACTTTGACAACAAATCCCGTCCTAGAAGTTGGACTGGACATTCAGGCATGTAAAGGAACTGATGTTTCACTACGTGGCCTCCCAGTGTACAGAGTCGACTTTTGAGAACCAGTTTAGCAGCACTCCTCCCAGTTGCTCCTATTACAGTGATAGTTCTTCCTGAAGGAAGGGTCGGTTACCACAGAATGTTCAGCACCAGTGTCGATCATGAAAGAACTCCTTTTTCCCCCTATTGCTACATCGACCATAGGCTCCGCTCGACCAAGGGGGATGGAGCCCGGTCGGTATCAATAGTCCTCCATGACAGTGTCAGCCAAACCCACAAAGTCCCTATCTTCTCTTTCTCGCGGTCTCTGCGCTGCTGGGTAATACCTATCCCCTTGAACGCTTCCTCTACTATTCCCACCATTTCCTCCAGGGCCTCCTCTTCCTCTCACTCTACCTCTATAGTTATTACTATATCCTCCCCTTTTCTATCTCTCTCATGTTGTTCCCTCAATGGACACTCACTCCTCCAATGCCCTTCTTCCCTACAATATGCGCATTGGTTCCTACTTAAAGGCTCCCTATTCCACTTATTCTCGCTTTTCTCGGTTCCCCTGTATACTTCCTTTTCCCTTCTATCTACACCAGCAATAGCTACCGCTAACATATCTGCCTTCCTTCTCATCTTACGCTCTTCTTCCTTCTTCGTCTCTATCTCCCTATTCATATAAACCTTATTTGCTATTTCCATTAGTTGAGTTATAGACATCCCTACAAACCCTTCTAGCTTTTGCAATTTTCTTTTAATATCTCCGTAAGCCTGGCTGACAAAGGCAGAGTTAACCATCCGGGAATTCTCAGGAGCCTCTGGACTAAAGGGGGTATACAATCGGTATGCCTCCAATAATCGGTCATAAAAGGCACTGGGCGACTCATCACATTTCTGCAATACTTCAGCCGTCTTTGACATATTGATCGCCTTTTTCCCTCCGGCTTTCAAGCCAGTAATAATGGCTTCCCTATAAGCTTTTAGGTGAGCCATATCAGCACCATTAACATTCCAATTCGGATCTACGTTTGGGTAATGAGCTGCGCCCATGCTACCGGGTTGGCCTGATTCTGTGCACGGGCCACTTCTTCAAGCGCTTTAATTGCCGCCTGATTAATCCGAGTCCTTTCCTCGTTATTAAACAATGTCATAAGCAATTGCTGGCAATCAGCCCAAGTGGGATTGTGTGTTTGGATTATGGAGGTAATCAAATCTGTCATGGCTTGAGGTTTGTCTGTGTAAGAGGAGTTATGGGTTTTCCAGTTGAACAAATTCGTAGTGGTAAAGGGAACATAAACAAATACGGGGTCGGCATGTTGTAACTGGCCTTCACCATTAATGTGTGTCGGGCCCGGTGTCAATCGGAGAGGCATTTGATAATGTCGGGGTTGGAGGGTACCGGTCAATTGTTAGTATGGGGCTTCGTTGAGGAAGGTCAGTTATGGGTTCCGGTCGAGGGGTAGTAAGACGAGGGGAGGGGGACGCTTTTTCTTTACTGAAGGGGAGGTTGGTAAGCAGAATATTCCAGGCCGGGCTGGGAGGAGCCTGACCAGGAACCAGAAATGACATCAAATCCGGATAGGTGGAGTTAGTGGGGGTAGGTACCGGAAGGGGAGGGTTTAGAACAAGTGGGCTGGGCTCTGAGCTAGAGGATGGGGTAGGAGGAGACAATGGGGCAAGGGGAGTGGCATTACTAGCTGCACCTCCTCTTCCTCTTCCTGTAGAGGAGGAGTAAGGGGGCAGTAAAGGAATCTCTGACTCAGGGGGCGTGTCCAGAATGGGCGTGATCACGGCCTTGGTGGACAAACGAGTTCTGGCCAACAGGAGGCGGCATTGCTCCTCTTGGCACACCCTGATCCATTTTGGCAAGTCATCCACGGCCTGTTTCCAACAATCAATATATGGAAACTGGTCGTAAAGTTCCGGCCTACTAGATACAGCTACGTGTACACGCTGCACTAGATTAGGATCAAGACTACCACGTGGAGGCCATGCAACCACTAAGGCAGGCCATTCCCTGCTACATAAAGTAGTCAAACGTGTTGGAGACATCTTTACCCCCAAATCACATACATTATATCCCTTTTTTAAATTCTTTAACATGCAATCTAAGGGATCAACGATCTTTGAATCCAACGCACCCATACTTAACAATGGAGCGTCGTCTCCAATAGAAACAAAACAAAACACACTTCCAACAGTCACACCCGTTTCCCTTGGCAACAGCACCACGTGGCACAGTTACCAGGCCAAACGCACACAACAAATCATACAGGGAATTCCCGTACACACACA